AAACCATATCTCTTTTATCCGCTGCATCGTCAATCAACATCATCATCACACAATAATAGAAGAAAAAGAAACTCTTTCTCATTATAAAGTAGGATTTTCTCTTCTTTTCCCACATCATTCCATATATTAAAAAACAAACTTCGGGAAGAAGACAGAACGATTCTACTCCTCTTTTTTTAAAAGCTCATATACCATATCGGAAAAGGCAGAAGGAAAAAAGCCGTTGAGCTTAAAGAAAAAGAAAAAAGTTAGTTTAGTATATATATGTATATATATATATATGTGAAACATAATCAACTATAAACTGAGTAAAGAAGAATCAGAAAAAAAAGTGACCATTGTTTTAAAGAGCAAAACTGACTTAAATAGTAGAATAGGGAACAAGAAAAATGAACAACTGAATGATAAAAATACTAACAGTTGTTCAATTTTGAATACGGCAATAATATATTCAAATGCATACATTTATAACATGAGATTTTTACAACAACACAAATATCACTTGCAATTTTTCAATGGTGAACAAATTTCTTTTCACTAATAATAGAAGAAAAGGTCTTATTTTCTAAGCCTGTGTGTTTATGTAACGTTATTTCTAACGAAACGTGAATGCCAAAAAGTGTGTAAAAAGCATGGCAGGAAGCTAAAGTTTAGTCAAATCATATTATAGATATTTCGATTACGCTCGAGAAAAAAAATTTGGCCGATAAGTTTTCCAACTAGATGTCGAAATCTCGTTCTACAAAACAGACTAGTAACAAGAGATGGAAGGATTAACAATCAGGTTTTATTTATAACTCAACCATAAAAAAGTGAAAATACAAATAGAAATATAACCGTACTACTGGCAGAATTTTTTTTATTGCCATTGAGAATTTCTATCGTTCTGTGTCGTCGCCACTGATCAAAGATATTTTTGTGCGGAAAATTGACTATACTTTGAAAAAACATCGAAGTAACCCGTTTCCAGATCGGAGCAAAAAATTTAGGGTACTAGTATAGTAATCCACCTCATCGGAACGCACCACAAAAATGCTTCATCTCCTACAAAATAAATATTGAAATACATCATGAAATTTCTGAAAAACTAGTGTAATCTTCATCCGACTCTACTTTAACGAATTTCAGATTCGGATTCAGAAAAGACATCATAAACCAGTCAAATAAACCTTAATAATTTAAATCGCTATTTTTCAAAAAGTGTAAATTAAAGTCATATATGTGAACGTATAACTTTAACTTATACTATTGCATCTAAACGCTTATTTTCCTACTATAATTATTCACAGATTAAATTTGGACAGAAATCGATAAAAACACAAATATCATAACAAAAGGGAAAAAATTGAAACTATGCTCAACTATATGAACCCAAAAACTATATCCATTCAAAATTCAATAGCTTATGATATTATTTTACGATAAAACACAGTACACTATGAAACTGAGATTAGTCGCAACAAAACTTCGACTTAAGTATTGACTAACTCATATTTTTGATAGTTGTTAACTTTTCGGTACCCAAAAGGACCATTATCTTCAATAAATAGCTTCCTTTCTGGGAAAAATGAGGAAGAAAGAAGTTACTTTCCAATTCTAAAGTTGTAGTATTCTATAAACATTTACACAATAATCTTCAAAATAAGCCTATTTAGTTGTGGTAATATTTACAATTATAGCATGGAAATCATCCTGATGGCATATAACAGTTCAATCATGCAAAAAGTTGCCCAAAACAATTATTTCAGAATTATCTTGTTTCTCGCACATAACACAGTATTCAACTTACCGATTTAATGTCTGGTCTTTGTAAGGTAGTTCTTGAGTAATATGCAAAAATAGAATCAAAATAAACTGGATATATCAAACTAAATGAACAATAACTAACAAAAATAACACTGGCGTTCTAATAGTAAACAAAACATGCCTCAAACCGTAGTAGAAGAAGAAAATAAACAGGCAGTCAAATAAACACGAAAAAGGACAATCAGAGTTACAAATGTCGTAAGAAATTTGACAATACTACTCTCAGATTAAGCTTGCAACTCTTGTTTCATGAGAAAATAAATAAATAAACTAACGATAAATCATGTATCAACATTTTTCCAAAAATATGTGCATAAATGCTTACAAATAATGCAGGGCTTGATAGTGGCCTTTAAATTAATCTGATGAACTGTTATTTGCTTCGTGCTCTTCTGCAACATTAATCTTTCTCCAACAAGCAACCAAACAGATGGAGGACGGTTGCTGTGAGACGTGTTAAACCGAGTGCGGAACATGAAGGTGAACTGACGAATCATAATAAAGACAAATGTAGACAAATTTGTTCAAATGTTCATTTTATGAAATCTCGTTATGTGTAAGTAACCTGTACCTTTAATTAATAAGTTAGTCGGAGCTGAAAATAGTGAGTGATAGAGAACTTTTCAGCTGACAATGCGTTTTTTATTTTTGTCGATTTTCTGTAATGTTAAAGGGTAAATCCATATGAAACATACCAGCATTACATCGACTTTCGGTGCAAACCGCTAGAATAACCTCATTTTGTAGAGCCCGTTGAGCTGCGTCTGTCTGCGCAAATCCCCTTTCCGAGAGTGATACGTGTAAAAAGTTATAAGGACTTTACTGTTCCACCAGAAAAGTGGAATTTCCTTGTTTTCCCAGCGGATTTTGCCGAACTTGTAACGGGAATGAATATCATATTTAGAGGACCTATTTCTGTATACCTACCTAACCTAACCTATAGGTTAGGTTAGATTTAGGTTACAATTTCTATAGATTAGGTTAGGGTTAGGTTTAAGTTATGAAATTTTTTATAGGTTAGGTTGTAGATTACACCATTGGTAACCTAGTTCTAACCTAAACGAAAAAAACCGATTTTGAATGACCACATTAAAACAATCGACACTTTGAGTAATAGTAGAGTAGTCCTAATGGAATTTTTTCGATTGAGGATGAAGTTCAGACTGAGGTTCTCTACTTTAAACTGAAAAATAGTACAATGAAAAAAGGAAGTACAGAGAAAAAACTTCCGTTTGCTAAAAGTAGATGGCAAATACATAATAATAACAGAACCTTCCTAGCATCGAGAGCCTAAAGTAGAATTCTGGTCTACTCTTAAGAGGGTCTTCCTATTCAGAAAGCTATTTTCCAAAGATTGCATTAAAAGACTCAACCGATTCATTTCTATATTCATGTAAAATGTGATTTATTTTGTATAAGCTTACCTTTCAGACGGTGTTGAGATAAAATACAATAACGATATGGAAGAAAGCTGAAGTTTAGGCTTCTGAAATCAGGTTTTGGGAAAAAATTGCAAAAGGTTGTAATAGGTTAACCTGGGTTAGGTTACGAAAAACAATAGGTTAGGTTTAGGTTGTGAAAATTTTTATAGGTTAGGCTATAGGTTGTCAAAAAGTAGTAACCTGCAGGGCTCTAATGGGAATCACGGATGTATGCCTACGGTTGCTCATTCTATATAGAAATTTTTACCGTTTTCGACATATAAGAGATATATATTACAATGGAAAAGTCACAAACCTTATTCAAACATTTCTTTTACTTTATACATAAAAGTAATATAACCAGTAATGTCCGATAAGGGGAGAGGGATCCCTCCTGCTTTCTGAAAAAATTTACTCCGAAATCAGGATTTCTTACTCCGAAAATTAGGTCTTTGACTTACGTGTTATATTATACAACATCTAAACATCAGATTAAAATACATATAGACAAAGAAACAAAAAGTTAAGACTGTTTATTGCTTGACTGACGAGGGAAAGCCGGTTGGGCTAATATTTTCTTTGTAGATAAAAGAAGAAATTTTTGAATAAGGTTTGTGACTTCTCCATTGTAATATACCTTGTATATGTCTAAAACGGTAAAATTTCTATATAAAATGAGCAACCCTAGGCATACATCCGTGATTCACATCTCAACAAAGCAGAAATAGATTTCTCTAAATATGACAGTCGAAGTCAGCATCAAAACTAAGCTGTACAAGATAGAGATGTGCAAGGTAACAACTATTTACGGAACCCTTGCCCTACCCTGTGAAAAGTTTTTGAGCTCTGGCCCTACCCTACCCTACCCTTTATATTGCCAATTGCACCAAAAATGGGTGTCTTGCATCCGATAAAATAAAGAGTTAAATAACTGTCGCTAGTGACGGATCTCAATGTTTTACCGACGATATATCTTTTTTAGACTAAGTCCTAGCCCTACTCTACCCTGTGACTTCGTAGTTCTGATCCTACCCTGTGACTTTGAAGCTTGCAGGGTAGGGTAGGATGGGGTAAGGGCGCCCTGTACATCTCTAGTACAAGATTATCTTCATCAGTTTGGTGTGTACAATACAGAGGAAATACCTCAAATATCGGTAATAAATAAATCGGTAACATTTTTCAAGGTTTTCATTTTATTTTTAGATTGGTCGATAGTCAATGACAATAGTCATCCTAGGACGTTTTATGACGGACAGTAAGGCAATATTCAAGTCAAAGTTCATATACTTCGACGAGTCTGTGAGAGAAAAGTTATACATCTTTTAATTTTTTGTCATTCTTATATACTCCTCTAACCATCAAAACAAAAACGTGAATAACTATGAAACAGTGTACTGAGGGATATTCTTCTCACCGAAATATGGAGAATACCGCAGGTATACCGAGTGGTTTCATATTATATCGCGGTGACGGACAATATTTTTGAGAACTGCGGTTTACCGGCGATATTAAATAAAAATGTTCTACATGGGATAGTACGCTGTACGGCAGAGAAACTAAAATGTTGCAGGCTAAACAACTTCTGTTGACATTACTAATTAAGAAATTCTTCTGAATTGATTGTTCGGTCTGTATATGTAAAAAATGGATTAAAATCGACATGATTGTTGAAATTTTATTTTATTCATCATTTTGGCTTCAGACCAAACTATTTAAGCATTGACAAAGAAAATTTCTCATAATTACATCGTTGAAGATTTTAATGATCACAGGATGGATGAACCAAAAAGTAATGAACGACACACATCTGATGTTGACCAATGTTCAGGTGATCACGAAATAAAACAAAATCAAAATACACATGATGTTAAGTATAGTCAACGAGAAATAACAGCTACTGTTGGTTCTGAATTGTCTATTCGAAAACAAAAGCGGGAAGTCGACAAAAATTTAAGTGAATTTCAGACGCCAAAATATGCTCCGCAAGGTAGCTATCCCACATTAGTTCAACTAGTCAAAAAAGCATTACCAGAAAGAACAGCATGTCGATTTGGTAAACTACGTCCAAGCAAAGTAGCGATATACAAATTTATATTCTGATGAGTTTAGGTTGTAAAGGTAATCGATGTAAATATGAGAGTTCAGATTTTTGGAGGCCGGAACAAATGGCTATTAAAGGAATATATTCGCATTGGTATGTTTTTAACCTAAAAATACTTGCATATATTTGTGACTAAACTATTATTTCAGGATTACTAATAAGATCCTGGCATGTTCACGACCAACTACACGTCATACTGATTTACGTGATCTTTTTTTACAGTATGAATATAACTACGATTACACTCATGTATAATGTTAGTCAAGCGGTTCTTGTTTCCTAGGGCTGGAATTCGATCAATTTTCAACTTGGAAGCACCTGATGAGCATATATTTTGTTAGTTAAATCAAATTCTCTCAATTAACTAATCTAATGAATGTCTTCTTTGACTAGGTGGTCATGGTAATCATCAAAGTGGCTTTTCATATGATCCAAGTTCATTTATGGAAGTTAATAGTAAGCTACAGTCATTTTTTCACTATTTCTAACTCAGCCGATACATGACTATTTTGCAGTATCTATTTACAACTTTGCAATGGAAGATTACGGAACAGTAAAAACTGCAACAATCTTGGATATCATGAGCGTGATGAGTTTTGCCATAACGGAGGGCAAGGTAAGTTTATCGAGATATGCGATCATTTTTGAATGTTGAATGATGAATTTGTTTAAAAGCTATTATTACTACCAGGTTTATATATGAATTTTGACAATTAAAACTGTCGTATTGAGATAACTCTTCTGTTTCTTGTCTGCAAGTACACACAATTTTTACATGTTGTATGTTTTTAGATTGCTGTCCACTGTCACGCTGGATTAGGGAGAACAGGATTTATTATTAGTTGTTATTTGGTGTATGAATATCATAAGACTGCTCACGAAGCAATTCATTATGTAAGAGCAAAACGCCCCGGTAGTGTTCAGATGTCAAAACAAATAGAAGGTAAACATTTGTTACACATCGTCCAGATAACTCTAAAATATATTTTAACTCATTTCTAGCTGTTGAAGAGTTTGAACGATTTATAATACCAAAACGACGTGTATTTACAGAATGGTAAAATATTAGTATAAATACTAAAACTGAACGCTTTATTTTATATGAATTTTTTAGTGCTGATGTCACAGAAACATTGCCATTAGAAGTTCATATAAAAAATCAACAAACATTTCTTCATGGACGTGATGTGACGATATTTCGTTATATCCCGAGGGTATCATAACGTTTTTTTAAACCTATCGTGCTAGAAATAATGCAAATAATTTGTTGTAGATTCTTTTTGCTTGTTGTGCACGTCTTGTGGAACTATGCACAAATTGTATAATCGATACAGTTTTAGTAACAATAAATCGTCGTAAAGGTAGTAAACCATGCGATGTTAGAAAAAATCTTAAAAATTTAACGGAAGCAGAAAAAAACATGTGGTCAAATTTTGCACCAGTGGTTTTACATGATCGAGAACAATTATTAAATTCTAATTCTGCACAAGAAGTCATTAATGGAATTATTTTATCAATAGTCGAACATCTTTTAACGTCTGATCAAAAACAAAAAATTCAAAATTTGAAAGTATGTAACTAAAGAGTATGAAGCGTTGAAATAGATTTTTTTATTATAAAAAATTTTAGCATAAAATGAACAGTAACAATAATGGAATCGATGAAATATTTGAAGAAACTGATCCAACTGTTATTGGAGCTATTATGTGGTCTTGGCTACGTTCGTTAAAGGTAAATAGCTTAAAAAATAGCAAAGAATGATTAAAATATGATTATTGTCAAATTTGAGGAACCAATTTTAACAAAAGCAGATTTCCGAATTTTTACCAAAGAACAGAACAATTTATTTCAAATTTTAGAAAAACTGACAAAGGTAAAAAAAATTTTCTTTCCATAAAGATATTATTCATTTCTTATTTAAAGATTCAGTGTGGCGTTATTGAACTACTAGCAAAAATGTATGCTTATATACGCTCATTTGCCAGTGAGAAAGAAGGCATTCTGTTATTGTTTGTTATCGTTCATATTCTTACACAAAGTCCATTGCCAAACGATCCCATATTGCATAACTTGACAACAAATGAAAAATTATATGATTATTTAATATCAGAACAAATGGATCATAAAAATCAGCAATCAGTTCTTGACTCTATCGTTTATAGTGCAGTTTTAAGTGTTGATCAACTACAACAAATAAGCGCATTTTTTCAAAAAACAACTGATCAATTTGAACCTATACCGGAAAATACGATTTAAAAAACTAATAAACAAGTCTTTATCTTTGTTTTTTAAGATCAGATATGTAATGTTATGTTATGACGAAGTAGAATCTCCATTTGAACATCTACTGTTATATCCCGGTTAAATAACAGTGACTTTTCTTCCGTTTTTCAAGTAAAATTTTATGATTCTTTTATTTTTTTCGACAATATTTGTGGTGATATATTTGAACTATTTTTATATCTTGATGTTATTTTCAAAACGAATATTTTTGCTATTATGAGCCTTATTTCGCACAGAAGTGAATTGTAGTCATTTTTTTGATATTATTATAAATTTGTTAAGAGACTGTTTGATAATAAGTCTCAAAGCATTTTATTAGAACTAACATAGGACTAACTGATTTAAATAAGAAACTAAGTATCTAATGGTTGCCCTTATTGTGCAGAAAATAACAGGACGTTATATTTTGTGTGTACAGAATACATGACCTTATTTTCTTTCTATGCAGTTTTCATTTTTCGATCATGATAGGCTGTCCTTCATTGCTACACAAAATGCTTAATTCATATTTCTTAGGGACTACAAAAAAAAATAATTCATTGTAATGTACAAAGTTCATAACAGAGAAAATTAGAAGAGCTGGATTATAACAATAATCTTACTTTAAGTTCAAACAAAGCGATAAAATAATTACAAAATCTATCTGTATAAGCAACATAAATGACTAGGAAAACAAGAATCGTTTCAAGACTTTTAGATACATACAACTTTTATACGTATCATTGATGAGTGAGGAAATTAAATGACTAATGGCATATGTTATCTTCAACTTTTTACGTAATTAATCTCATTTTCTCATTAATATTTGTTTAGAAAGTATATCTCTGTTACGCGAGAGAAAAATAATACTCTCATACACGAAAAAACTTTCACAACTGTGTGTCATTAGTATTTTGACAAGAAATCTCATATATGAATACAACGTCTTTCAACTTTTTACATGATTATGTGACTGTGAATGTTCTTCGATTAATAATATATTTAATTGGTCTTATTTTTCAATGGTAATGCTAGATTTTTATTTTTATATTCGATTAACGCATTATGAAGCCTGTTGTACAATATCGAATTTAACAATGGATAGAACTCATGCTCTAGTATTTATTTTTGAAAAATCTTGGCTACATCTATTATTGTTCTCAAGATAACAGAATTTTGCCTGTCAAAAAACAGAAACCTTCAAATAACATCTATTATTAAAATAAAGATATCGTTTGAAATCCATTTGAATACCTAAATATGTTGCGTCTTCTTACTCTATAAATTTTAGTTAAATGTATGAGATTCATTGAGCATTCTGATGGCATCGGTCGTATTTCTCATGAATAGCTAGCTCCTAAATTGCATCGAGACTAGTGCCATGAGAAGTTTGAGTGTTGACATGACGCACGAATTCAGATTTTAGTTTTTTAAGTATACCTCAAAATGAATAAAAATTATCATGCAATTCGAAGGACGATCTTGCAAGTCTTGTATTTAATTAAGAATTTAAAATACTTAAAAATATATATTCTATGTTTTACTTCTACAATCTAAAGAAAAAACATTTATTTGAGAACTAAAAAGAGTTTTAAGGATTTATCCCGACAGGAAACGTATTTTTTGATTTTGAAGAAAGCATATTGTAAAAAAACAATTAGGACTAGGAGAACTACAAAGATTTTTTCTTCAAAATTAAAAAAGGTGTTTCCTGTCGGAATAAATCCTTAAACTCCTAGGACGTTGAAAGCGATGTAATTTATTGTCTATTAGAATGTCTATTAATTAACAGTCCGCAAAATGTGTCTTAAATGACATATTTTAGCTAGTTAACACCATTTTTTGACCATTTCTCGGCATTATAACTGAGAACATATTAACGCCTAAAAGTAGCATTTTTTAACAGTCCAGAAATAGGCTGAAAACAGGTATTTAATAATAACCGTTTAATGGCCATTTTTGTGTAATTATTGGCTATTTATGGCCAAGGATTCGACTGTTGATCATGGCTAATTTCTTTCTGCTACTACCATGAAATAAATAGCTTTTCAAATTTTTGAATATTTTCAATTGCCTGGTATGATCGGTGTCATCTTTAGAGCCAGTAGCTACTTCCTCAACACAAGTTTCGATGACTTATATAGTCGAAGAAGAACAATCTACGTTTTCTATGAGAAAATAACGTGAGATATATAGCAGTGAGATCAGTAAAACAAAAGGGTGAATTAAACGGTAAATGTAAATGACTGGTAAATGGTAAATGAAGGACAATGACTGGTGCCTATTAACTGACCATTTTTTCACAATCAAAAGCCTGTTGAAACCCTGTTGTTAGCCATTTCGTTAAGAGGCCATTTATGTCGTATTAAATGTCAGCTACTTTTGACCTGGACTCCTTTTAATTCTAGGAAAAACAATTTCTCAAGTATATAAGGCTGAAAATGAGACAGATTCTGAGAGTGCACAGTTCAGGCTACACGTTAAACCAAACATATCACCGGATCGAAAAATTTGAAAAGCTTGTTCGGTCAAAACCGATTGCAGATTCGTCTTCTCCATGGTTGATTACGTGGTACGCGATAATTTCTGGATCGGAGTACTTTAGAAAAAATTTTCGACATTGTTTTGCCTTTGGTCCCATACGGTAACATTTGGAAAAATTTTTGAGCAAAACCATGGGAAAAAATTTTTCTAAAGTACCTCGATCCAAAAGTTATTGCGTAACACATAATCAACCATGGAGAAGACGAATCTGCAATCGGTTTCGACCGAACAAGCTTTTGAAATTTTTCGATTCGGTGATATGAAATTGACTTCTAAGGAACGCACACATACTCTAAGTACTCAACGACTAAAAGGCTTCAGCAAAGTATTCAAATAAGTCTTGATGAAATTTTTTCAATTGTTTTCTACAACTACTCGACGAGTTTACTTACTCTTGGCCTATTTTAGTGAGTACTCAGGAATTTAGAAAAAAAAGTTTATATGAATACTCACACACTTTACTATAGTCGTTTAGTTCCGCATATTTCTTTATTATATAAACAAAACAAAATTATAACAAATATTTAAAGTTTTTATTATTAAAAGATAAACGAATCTCTTGATATGTACGAAATCAAATTATTTCCATAAAAGAAGTACAATAGTGATCATACAGTCGATTCCACGATATTCTGAATGAAAAATAGGCCTGAATGCTTAAAATACTAACTAAACGGTTAGTGCTAAAAGGCTCTTGTCTGAGTACTCAAAAACCTGACTTTTCAGATAAAAGTGTTTATTTTCTGTTTAGACACATTTTTAATGAAAATAAATATCATATCCAGAACCCTTCTCTTAAGTTGCGTCGATTCATGAACAGAGAAATAATTTTCTTATAAAAAAATTTTTCCTTGAAAATGCTCGACTCAGCCAAAATTGACCAACACAAATAAAAAAGTTATCTTTTCAAATTGATTCCTTTTAATTTATATTAACTCGATATTTTACCACGTAAGAAGTGAATTGAAAATAAAATCAAGTATCCCGATAACATCCTATATACTAAAAATCGGCAATTAATCGTGAGAAATCATACGATTAATGGCCGATTTTTTAATGATTTTAGCGATTAATCACGACTAATTGACGATTTTTTTTCTAGGTGCTAGGTGCGAACCCATCTTAGGAAATACATATTTTTTTCTGTTTTTTCATTGTTTATTCACTCAACAACGGTCTTAGCACCAGCTCAAGTCGGAGCCTTGCCGACGAGTCGATTTTAGACATTTTCCAGATACCAGCTGTTCACTGGGCTCTTCGGCTTAAGGCTCTAACAAAGAAGATTCTTGACAACTCCGTTTTACTCTAAAATAAAAAGATGATCTAAATAGAATTGAATTTCTCTTTGAAATCGTGTTTCTTATATACATACTTTATGGCAAAATAAAATGGTGAATAAGAATAACCATTTAATCGCCAAATTTAAACAGCCTAGTATTTTAGACTGAACTCTTAAGCTACAATAAGAGCACTTATTTAAGTTGTGCACAGATATCTTGTAAATGTACACGAAATATTCATTATGATGGAGTCAACTATGTTTGAGAAATGGCAATGAAAAACCAATAATATATATAGATAGAACGCCTTGTTTTTAGGAGCTCAATATATTATACTAGAAAGAGGTGTCACTGTCTAATAGGATATGAAAAATACTAGGTTGTTTTATACTTGTTTATTGGTAAATAAAAGACTACTACAAGCTCTGCATAGAACGTCTGTATGTTTGTTATTTTTTTACTTTTATCATTTTTTATCTTGTCTTTTGTTTTGAAAAAGTGCTATAATTTATACATATACAAGCTTTGATAATTATCTTTAAACGTGATCTTGGAAAAAGCGTAGTGATATATACAAATAACATTTTTTACGACTAGGGCTTCTTCTGATGACCGATTCGAGAGAGTTATCAATAAAAGTCTATCACGTTATTCACGTCTAGTCATTATATTTATACACCGTTTTTCTTATGTAATAAATTAAGTGTTTATTGTTTTTTTACTTACTCTCTATACTTTCTAGAACTACTATTTTTGGATAGCAGATGTTGAATTTGTTATTCTAAAAATTCTTTTCATGTAGCCGAAACGGCTAACACTTGTTTATACTAAGGGTTAAAAGAACACTTGAATGCGGAGGGCTTTTTTCTTCAAGTACGATACAGTTTAAAGGTTGAATATTACAACGACATATTTTACCTTTGCAACTCTTGTATTACACAAAATTTGTTTATTTTCTTGAATTTGGATTTTAATTCTAGTTGTAAATGAACAAATGTTGTTTTTCTAAGCTTCAGACGTTCAGGAATTCTTTAAAAAGCACTTCATTTCAGTGTTACTTATTTGTTTGAAATAGACGATCAGAAAAAAATTAGACTTTTATAAGCACTCTCTTTATATCTTAACGAGACACTTCACGTGAACGTATCTAACGAGTGATTGGAAAGTTTTAGATATAAAACGTCAATCGCTATTTTTTCACGCAGTCAATACTGTAGAGATTTCATTTTTTCTTTATTTAAAAGAGGAAAGTCTGAACTACAAAACGTATGAATAAATTTTTCTTTCACAAAATCTCATTGAGAAAAAATCCAAAAATCGTACACTGCTAAACACATGTCCACGTTCTATTTTTTTCGAAACCGTTTTCTCTCATTTAAGATAAGTTTAAAGAATGACGGCTTACATTCAGGAGTAACTGAGACACAAAATTATCCATATATTCTGTGATTTTAAACGGAACCAGTTTCTGTTAAAATTTGATCGAACAGCGGTATAATAGCGTTAAATTATAACGATAGGATTCCATCAGATACAATTATGTAATGAACTAACAGTTCATTCTTTCAAATAGGTATACAATACGTTTTGTTTTTTCAGAATTCAGGTTTCATAGAGAAGGCATCATTTCTCATGCATTTGATCCTAGTAAGAGATGATTATTTCTCATACTATAATTTTATTGATATGTTTTAGCAAAATGCTACACTATCATTTTTAGTAATCTGAATTTTTTCTCAGCACGTTTTATAGTTTGCACTTTCAGACAAAGAAAAAATGTAATCCGGAATATTATGAGCATGGGAAAATAGCGGCCAGACGTTTTATGCAAAACTTTTCGATCACTCGCTCATTTTCTGATATTTTGGTCTATAGAAAAGTGCTCAATATATCTCGATTTGACGCCTGACTTTCTCTGACAGTATATTACAGATAACAACAAAAAAATGCACTTAAATCAACACACTTAGATCAAGCGTCTATCCAAGAATATGAATGAAATGACTCACTAACGCTTTTGTCTTACAGTCTTCCACTCTTTTTTTATAAGTTTAAATGAAAAGCTTGTTTATATTAAATGCTTTTGTGGGATCATCCTATTGTATATATTTTGGTTTTGTTATTTATTCAAGGCTTATCCAACACGTCTAGTTCTTTCTTTGTCATTGTCAAAAAAAAAGACTAATAGTGTCGAGTAAATGTCATTTAGATAGGTCTCTTAAATTACTGTTCAGATGTATTTTTTTCTACTTTTTATGTGAATGAACAAGTTCTTTTTTGACGATAGAATCATCCATTATTAACAAGAACCATCCATATTTCTTTAACGAGAAAAATATGGCGCTTTCAAATTAAAAACGAAAAATGCAGTATCATAAGATTTTTGAGTAAAAGATATTTTATTTTATTGTGGATCAATTTCTATAAATGATACAAGTTGTCAGAAAATTTAATTAAACTCAAAAACGGTTTGTATAGACTGGATGTATACGAAATTTTTAAAAATCAATCAACCGCTTATAATCGCTAGATATACGGAAAAGATTGCATCTGACAGAACGAGTGAATTTCAAAATATTTTTCAAGACGTTATGATGCACTTTTTATATACATATTTTAGATATATATAGCCCACCGAAAAAAATAAAAATCTAAAATATTTTTTTTTTCTTTTTTTGTCAATATGATTGGTGTATGTGAGTGTGTGTAAGTGTATCTGTTTTCCTGTCTAATCTTATATGGAAATAACAATAGAAACTTATATATAAAAAGTCCATGAGTTATCTTAATCGACGTGTGTCGAATAATCGAATAAAATTAAAATGTTTTTTGTCAACAAATTACAGTCAAATATTTCTCCGATTTATATTTGGTTGTATATTATTAATTGGTATTATTCAATCGGCTGCTATTCAACCACAAAAAATATCATTATACAATGAAAATGATAAATTATATATATTATCAAATAAAAATTTTTCCATTGTATATGAATCACCAACAGCCTGGTTAATTGAATTTTATGCAAGTTGGTGGTATGTCAAAAAAAAAATGATAGATAATTCTTATTTTCTATGTTTTTTAAAGATTATAATATTTTGTATATCTTTGGTTTTTTTGTTTAGTGGACACTGCATTCATTATACTCAAACTTATCGTGAAATAGCAATTGATACCTATGGTAAATTTTCTTTTTTTTTGGAAGAATTATTCTATCATCAATTAGAGATTGTAAATATTTTTATGTCATTTTTTTAAGGTTGGTCATCTATCGTTCGAATTGGAGCAGTTAATTGTTACTCTCCCGAGAATGAACAGTTGTGTACTGATCATAAAATAAACGCTTATCCAACTCTTCGAGTAAGTTCTATTTTAAACATTTGTTAAACTTTTTTAAATGTTCTCTACTCTTTTCTTTGTTCAAGTTATTTCCACCTGATACTACTTTTAAAAGTGACAAAACTGTTGATATACCCGTATCCGATGCAAAAGACGTTGAAAGAAGTCTGATCAATAAACTTGAAACGCTAGAAGATAGACAAAAATATTGGCCATCGCTCACATCAGTCAGGTTAGTTTATTAATAAAAAAAGATTAACCGCTACTAATCATTCATCTTGTATTCTATTTTAGTCGTATTGAACTATCAGAATTCTATACACGTGCATCAGCAAACACAAAATTAGTCGTATTAGTTTTTGAACAAAAAGATGATTATATCGGACGACAAGTGAGAATTGATATTTTTAGTATATACTTTAAATCAGATGAGTTTTTTTATTTTTATTCTTGTCTTTTAGCTAATCTTAGACTTTTCTCGCTATTATGATCAACTGGTTATTTATCGTACAACAAATATGGGTAAATTATGGAAAAAATTACATTTGTCTATGCAAGATGCTCCTAGTCTATACGTTGTATATAGAAATTTAACAATTGAGCGATTAGATGATACAGTATTTCCTCTTGACAAGTATGATTCAATATTTGTGTATTTTATTTTTAAATTTAAATTCAAACAAAATAAAGACGTTTTTTTGTTTATTTCTAGAGATGTTGGTAAACGTAATCTATTCAATTATGCATTGCGTACTTATATTCGTAAACATCCAACTTTAATTCAAAATTATAATGATGATGATTTAGAAGAAATTATTTTAAGAAAAAAAGCATTAAAAAATAAAAATGAGGTAGTTACTGCGACAAAACAACAAAAATCAATAAATAATGAAAGGTATATATAATAGTCAATAGAGTCAACGTTTTGATGTTTAAAATAGATTTATCATTTAGTGATATAAAAAAAGTTTACATGTTAGATATGGAATCTGGTTTAGATTTTATGTTACGTCGTGAAATTTGTAAAATCAATGAAATAAACAACGATGCCTATAATGCTCTAGTCAAATGGCTTACCGTTCTTGTTAAGGTTTGTTAAATTAAAATAGATATACTGTTGTTGTTTTTTATGAATAAAATTATTATTTTTATCTTAGTATTTTCCTGGACGAGAACCTGTTATGACTTATTTAACAAGATTATTAGATGAAGTTAAAAGTCAACCAAATGGTTTTACTGGTAATGAATTTCGACGAATGGCTAACAGAAAGACGGTATAAATTATTATTGAATATAAGTGTGAATAAAGCTTACCTTTCGTTTTTAAAGGAAGATGCGTATTTACCAACTTATTTTCAACAGTGGCGTCATTGTGCCGGTTCTGCAAATCAATATCGTGGATATCCATGTGCTGTTTGGCTTATATTTCACTCGTTAACCGTAGGACAAGTACGATTTGAAGAAAAAAAATCTGTGCCATGTAAGTAGATAATTGATTATTAAAAATAATTTCATCCAATTTGTATATTAAAACTTATGTTTTTTTTTCATTTATTTTAGCCGATAAACTGGATATGATTGAAGTACCATTGGCTATTAAAAATTTTATCAAATATTTTTTTGGTTGTCGAGAATGTAGTGATCATTTTATGAAGGAAACAGTTAATGTTGAAGATATTCAACCGAATAAATATGAAGCTGTTCTTTATCTTTGGAACAGTATGTAGTCTTCTTTTTTTTTCGATTCAATTGTTTAACTTAATTTTAATTTTTTCGTTTGTTTGTTTAGTTCATAATCGTGTTAATGAACGTTTACATGGCGAAATATCAGAAGATCCATTACATCCTAAATTACAATTTCCACCGATACCTCTATGTAAACAATGCCATAAATTAGATAAAGATGATGTTACGTCATTTAATAAAGACCGTACAATTGAGTTTCTATTGGAATTCTATTCAAAAGACAATATTGACTCGTCAAACTTAACAGATTTTCAACAACAAAGCATAAGAAAATTAAGATCCCGGCAAAAATGGAAACAAATAAATGAGAATGATGGTAATATAAATAATATTCCAGACGAAAATAGTGATAATGAGTTAAGTAAATATATTAAAAAATCAAGTTTGTTTGGAACAACAACAATGCTGCTAAAGCATTTTAAAATATATTTTATTGTTACTTGTTTTGTTTTTGTTATATTTTTACGTTATAGATTTTGCAAAGTAAAGAAAAAACGTTATACGTTGTAGTTTTTTGAAAGAGAGCGAGAGAGAGAGCGAAAACAAGACAGAAAATGTGATCATTAGTGATGGTGGTAATGGTAGTAACCAAAATCATTTTTATATTGTTGTATTCCTCGTGTCTTCTATCTCTCTTATGAGGTAAAAAATGAATATCTCGTTTTGTCGAATCTAGTCAATTACTTATACTCTTGTTCTATTAATTCACTAAAAAATACTTACAACCTTTGTAATACACCGGTAACTCACATTGTTCATCTTTGCTAATTCTTTAAATTTATATAGATGTTATAGTGAGGTAGTTAGATAGTTTTACAATTTTTTCTATAACAATAAACTAACTAATTATTACTCTCTTTGAACATCATTCAAAAACTATAAATTATACGTCGAGTATTCTGGTTTTTCTTCTTTGCTGTTGCAAATTGCTCATGCATACAAACTTGTTCCATTCTTTTTCATCCAATTAGCTTATTTTATTTGTTTATTTCTTTTTCAATTTTCCAGGTGAACAATGAAGGGCAATGATCAGCAAACTATTATCAACCATGATCATTAAGAGTGTGTGTGCGATATTGTTTGTTTTCAAAAAAATGAGTAAATTTAACGTTATTTTTGGGTTTGGGTTTTTTTCTTCTATAAACCACCGTTCTCATATCATTCCAAAATATTCCATATATATTTTTTTTTGACCTATCTATTCACAGACATAATCAAATCTATGAGTTTGACCGTGTCTTTATTTTGCATGATTTAGCAAGTTTCATAAGTTATGTTTTATGAGAGAGTTTTTCTGTAGAACTGGCTATTTTTATTTAAGATGTTTTAAACAAAATTGGATGTATTTTTTATGTATAACAGTTTTCTTTTATTTCCAAACAATAGATGATTAATGACTTCATTTTGTTAATTAAATCATATCTGATTTTCCTGCATTATTGAGCGCTATTTGTTGCTGTATTTCAGATTTAAGCGCTCATAGTTCTTCAAGTATTCTTTGGACTGTAATGTCTTTTTGAGTAAATAAGACTTTCAGTCATCTTAGAAAATCATTATGTATATTCACCTCTTATCCAAGTGATCAGTAGTTAATTTTCAGTAGAAGTGGGACACAACATCGAATGAAAAAGGATTAGTTCTGGCAGAGAATTCAGATTTTTGTTATTTTCAAGATTTTCGGTTTTACATTAAAGAACAGATTACCTACAGAAAATATCAAATAATCTATTGTTTTGTCTTTCCTTTCAGTTAACCTCTTCATTTGAAGAGTCAAAGCATGAAATACGAATTTGAAATTAATAATATCGTGTCAAATGAATAAGAAGCATACTAAAAAAAGTGATGTTTTTCCCAATTTAAACATACAACGGAAAACAAATAGGAAACAAGGCAATATGATTCACGAGAGTCTACGACGTTTTAAGAGAAACATTGCCGTCTTTTACGTACTCAGTCAGTCATCGTCATTCCGAAAACTGCAGGATTCCAAAATTTACGAAAACTTTTACGCGTTTAGTGAATATAGCATATCAACACACAAGCAACAGCGAACTATATACGAATAACATGCAGAAGCACGCGAGTAATGCCTCTGTTTCCATGGCAACGTGCGCTTCCTACGTGTTATTTTCCGTATACTCACAACTTCTTGTGTGTTTGTGTCACAAATTCGCTAAACGCGTATGGTTTTTCATAAAATTTGGGATCCTGCAGTTTTCGGAATGACTATGACTGACTGACTGGGTATTATTACCATTTACAGCTCAAGCGTCAAAAAAACATTTAGTATTGCCTGATTCATCTAGAATACTGGGTAACGACAGGGGAAATCTAGTGATCGGGTAATTGCCAGATTTCTTCTAGATGCAACTATCGATTTATCGCCCGATAATCGATCGATTTAACTATTTCTAGTTGCACATGCAGACACATATAGTTAAAAGTCCCTTTTCCAACTAATAATCTATATGACAACTAGTCGTGTATCGCCCGATTACAGACGGAATGTATCTAGATTTTTCCCATAGGTGATGTTTGCTTGGGAGACTCGCCCAAGTTCGTTTTCTAAGCATTTCTCTTATCTTTTAGATATAATCAACATATTGTTTTTTTCACAAATGCAGCACAATACTCTTAAATCTTCTTGTTTTAATTTGACTCTTTTTCCATTCGTTTTTCTTCTTCTCTCTTGATTGGGCATGTCAAGATTATTTAGGCTCAATTTTCGTACAAAAAAGTTTTTACGAAAAATATTCATAGGGTACGTGTAATTTATTTTCATGAATTTTGTTCTGTAACTGCACTTTTGTTGTAAATCTTTTAGATCTTCTTATTTCCGAGCTGTAAGTGTGTTTTTTTCTTATCTAAAAAAGTAAGATGCACGGAAACCAGACTTCAAGTGAAATTTATTTTTCAACGTTTTACACACCAATCGATAGAAAATTGTGCGCTGATCACGAACATGTGCGCCTGGCGTTTTGGGGAGACTTTTTACCAGTCCATTAATTCAAAAAAC